CTGCTGTCCCTGGTCCCCCCAGAGCAGAGCTCAGTCCCTGCCCCTCCTCTGCCCCTGCCCAGGAAGTTGTGACTGCCATGAGATCTCCTTGTGCTCCAGAGTATCCCTGTGGAAGCCTGCTCCCTGGGCCCTTCTTTTCCATGTGTTTTAGCCTTACAGGAAGGTTGTTTTGTAAGGAAACAAGTGCCATTTCTGTGGGCAGCCTGATGTCTCATCAACTTCCCAAATCCCCACGTGGCTCTTGCCATCCCTGACAGATGAGCCCGAGGGAGAGGAAAAGCTGTCAGCATTCCTGGCTGTCCTCCTGCCCCTGGAGCTTTGCTTGCTGTGAACTTTAACTCTTCAGTCATGTAATTCATGAACTTTAGTACTTCATTTAACAGCTCCCCAGGGAAACTTTTGCTAATCCTTCCTGCTGCCAGGCAGCCTTTTCCTGAGAGCCCTGCCAGTGTTTTCCCTCAGCTCTGGTTGTTAGTCCTGGCTCCAGCCCCTGATGTATCACTGTTTTCCTAATGCTTGTGCCTTTCATTTGTTAAAAGATCCTGGAGCCTTTAGATGGATGAGGCTGTAAATCATGGCAAGGCCAAGGGTTCCCTCTTGTCTGATCACTGGGAGGTTAAGCAGGAAAGAAATTTAGTCAAAATTGGGGTATTCTGGGTGTCATTTTTCTTCTCAGAGTAAAAGCTTCTGGGGGAACTTTGTTTTTTCAGCCACGGCAAATCAACAAGTAGAGCCATGAGGCTGAAAGTGCTAAATTAAGTTAATTTAGGGAATCATATAGAATGTGTTTGGGTTGGAAGGGACCATCTTGTTCCACCCCCTGCCATGGGCAGGGACACCTCCCACTAGCCCAGGTTGCTCCAAGCCCTGTCCAACCCGACCTTGGACATTTGCAGGGATCCAGGGGCAGCCACAGCTTCTCTGGGCAACCTGTGCCAGGGCCTCCCCACCCTCCCAGGGAACAATACCTTCCCAAGACCCAACCTAAATTTCCCCTCTTTGAGTTTGAACCCGTTCTCCTTGTCCTGTCACTGCAGCTCCTGATGCAGAGTCCCTTCCTGGCTGCCTTGGAGCCCCTTCAGCTCCTGGAAGGTGCTGTGAGGTCTCCACACAACCTTCCCTCCCCCAGGCTGAACAGCCCCAACTTTCTCAGACTTTACATGGAGTTTAGGTACCTTTTTTTGTTTTTCTCCCCCCTGCAATATTAATTTGCAGGATATTTGATGTAACAAAATAGAAACCAGGGAGATACTGGGCACCTGGACATCCTGGAGAGAGCTCTCCAAAGAGAAGTGGCAGCAGCACGTTGTGTTGGTCACACTTGGATGCAGCTGGGGCTGAGTTTGGGAAGCAAATCTGTAGGAAACCCTTTGAAACACTTGGAAGGTGATTTATCCAAGTGGCAGCAGCACCTCTGCCTTGGCAGGGGGTGCTGAGCCCCTTTTTGGGACTGTGCCCTGTGTCAGATGCTCTGGCCCCCTCAGAACTGGGTGCTCTGTGCCCACAGGGGCTGTGCTGCTCTGCCTGGATGGCAGGAAAGGGGAAGAGATTCCTCCTTCCCTTCACCTCCATCTGAGGTTCAACTGCTTTTATTCAAATCAAACCCACCCCCCCCTCCAGCTCTGCTGAGTCCTGATTCCAGGGAATCCGGGTGTATCCACAGGTTTCTCATCTGTAGGTTCTCTTCTTTGGGAATACACACCAGGGGATGACTCTTCATTTTTCTGGCAGTGAGAAAAGGGGCCTGAAAAGCTGGCTCTTTTCACTACTTGCTTGATTTGTTATGGAAAGGCAGGGATTTGTCTTGGATTTACTACAGGGGTCTCTGCTAAATCACCACAACTGGAGAAGTTTGCTCTGTGCAAAGTTAACTTTTGTTCTCTTTGCTCCAACCCTAACTAACAGATATGAAAGGTTTATTAAGCAAATAAATACAAATCCCTGGGCTGGGAATTCCCATTTCCCACACAGGGAGTATCTGAAGCCCATCACTTGCCAAAGGGAACGAGTCAGGGATTGCAGCTCAGGGAAAAACACAGGATTGTTTTGTTTACAGGCTTTGACATCAGGGTGTGGGGAGGGAAAATTATGATCATCTCTGGGAGGGGAAAAATGATTAGTGAACTGTATTTCTGCTCTGCCAGAATGGGATTTTAGGTGCCTTTTTTCAGGCCCTGCAGTGACAGGGAGGTAGAAATGCAAATGCTTTAAGTGCAGAAAGGCTCCTTCCATATCTGGAGAGTGTCTTGGGTGGGATGTCTCATTTGGAATTAAATCAGTTTGCTGCATTTTAAATGTTATGATGTGCTCCCTAATGTAGGGTTAGTTCTTCTGGGAGAATTGGCCTGGCATGAGATTACAGGGCACATGTCCATGTTTGAATCCTTCTGAGCATTTTGAGTGGCTCCCAAATCTCAGAATCGTGGAATGGTTGGGGTTGGAAGGGACCTTAAAGCTCATCCAGTCCTTCCCCCTGCCATGGGCAGGGACACCTTCCACTAGCCCAGGGTGCTCAGTCTAAGGCAGAACCTTTCCTTGGGCCTGGTTCTGCCTTAAATGATGACTTGTGGCAGGAGAAACTCTTTATTTAACACTTAATACATAAAATCTTCATCTTCCATCTCCTTCCTTCCTTATGCATGAGGCTTTCCCAGCAATATTAATATTGTACTGTTGAAGAGATAAATGAAGATCAAGGCTCAAGAAATGAGCTTGTAAACCCACCAAATGACAGGTAAATTATTAGATGTAGCCTTTGAGGGGGGTTTGGATGTGTTATAAAACCCAAGGAATTCCCTCCTGGAAGCTCAGCAAACTGAGTGTGAGGAAGCAGAAGATGGACACAGCTTTCTCCTTCAGGAAGGACCATGTTGTGGTTGTTGGAAAAGATCTTCCTGCACAACATCTGTGAGCCCAGTTTTATCCAAAATGAGTAAGGAAGGCAATAATCTCTGTCCCTAAATATTTTACTCTCCTGCTTCCTTCTCCAGTGCTTATCAGGAACTGTTCTGTCCTTTAACCTCTGGGTCTATGTGTGTGTGTGTGTTTTTATTACTACTTCTGATTTTTTTTTGGAGGCACCTTTTATTTTCTCAGGTAGAAAATAAGCCTGTTTACATCCAGGAGCAGCCAAATTCCTTTCCCTGCTTGGGAAGAACAGTCTGGCAAGTCAGGAGCACTGGTTTCCTTAGTGATGCTGACAGTTGGTGGGCAGACTCAAAAACTGGAAGCATTTCTATGAACTTCTTGATGCCTTTGGCACGAAAGAGCCTTGGCTGTGAAATACCCTCAGTTTTGTGCAGACAAAATGTCCTCTGCTTGGTTTTGTTTGTTGTTTATCCATAACTCCCGTAATAAAAGCCATAAAGAGCTGACAGATTACAAGTTGCATGAAATATCCAAGTCATTATTTACACTTTGATGCTTCTTTGTGCAGACATGAGACAATAAATACCCAGAAAGTCTCAGAAGTGACACTCAGCGGGGGATTCACCACTTTTTACGTGCCAGGGTTTGCTTCTCCTGCTTGGAAGCGTATCCTAATAACCTGATATTCCTTGCCTTTGGTTTTTAGTGAGCTCCAAGGGCTCAGCTGGAAGCCAGGCTTCCATGGGATGCTGCTGGAGTTGGCTGTGGGGCAGGGAACAGCCTTTCCTCGCAGGGTCTTTGCTGGTGGCTGAATTTTGGTGGTGCCTGTGGGTGCTGCCTCGGGGGGCTTGTGGAGAGCACAAATTCTGCTCTGTGAACTCCTGGGCTGGCACTGGAGTGGTGTGGGTTCCTCTCCCAAATATGTGTCACTCCTTGTGGGGATAAGGGGTGGTTGTGCAGCCATGGAACGCTGGGGCTTAAATCCTGGAGTCCCTCTCGCTCTTGGATGGGATTTAACACCCTGTTTGCTAAAACATCCTTGAGAATGTCATTGCTGTGTTAGTAGAAAAAAATCCAGTGTGTTGTGGGGTTTTTATTTCAGATTTACTGTCCTAAATTACCAAAGGGCCAGAGTCTGAAGGGAAAAGGGATAAAATGCAAGATTACACCAAAGCAGGAATTGCTGTGTTGGCACTTGCCACTGGTTTAACTGAACTGTACCACAGCATTTCAAGTGTGATGCTGGAATGTAAATGGTTGTAATTCACTGTCTTTGAACAGAGAGAACATGAGCTCCAGGAAGGAGATGTTGGAAGGAGAGAGAACCCTGGGAGGAAGGAGGAGGAGGAGGAGGAGAAGAGGGAGATGATAACACCGGCCCTGAGGGACGCGCTCACGAAACAAGGTGAGGCTGCACAGCCCTGGGGGGGAACAGGACTGGGGGGTTTGGGGGTGGACTTTGACCAGAGCAGTGGAAGGGGGTGTTCTTTGTGTGACAGAGGCTGCTCTGGACCCTCAGTCATGGCAGGACAAAGACCACAGAACACAGGATCTCCAGGAACCTCTGGAGATCATCCAGTCCAACCCCCTGCCCAGGCAGGGTCACCTGGAGCAGGTGACACAGGAACACAGGTTTGGAATGTCTCCAGAGGGGGAGTCTCCACAGCCTCCCTGGGCAGCTGTTCCAGTGCTCTGCCACCTCATGTGGAAGTTCTTCCTCATGTTGAGGTGAAACTTGTGGTTTAGTTTATGGACATCATTCCTTGCCCTGTCACTGGGCACCACTGAGGAGAGTTTGGCACCATCCTCCTGGCTCCTGCCATGGAGGTATTTGTATGGATTGATGAGATCCCTGCTCAGCCTTCTCTTCTCTAGACAAGGCCCAGCTCCCTCAGTCTCTGCTCATCAGAGAGAGGCTCCAGACCCCACATCACCTCTGTGGCCTCCTGGCCCCGCTCCAGGAGCTCCCTGTCCCTGCTGTGCTGAGGAGCCCGAGCTGGGCCCAGCCCTGCAGATGTGCCTCCCCAGGGCAGGGCAGAGGGGCAGGATCCCTCCCTGACCTGCTCCAATGCTCTTCCCGATGCTCCCCAGGATCCCGTTGTCCCTCCTGGCCCCAGGACACACTGCTGGCTCATGGCCAACTTGGAGTTCCCAGGGTTTAAAGTATCAGCCTGGGAGTGATGCTGATGGTCCCATGTGCCTCCAGCTCCCAGAGTGGAGGTTCCTCAGAGAATATTTCAAGATCAGCTTTGCACCTCTGTTTTCCCTTTAGTCCCCTGCTTTTATTTCAGTTTCAAACTCTGATTTTGTTACTGAAACGTATTTCCAGACTAGGAACGAGTTCAAACTAATTTTAAACTAACCATCCACCAGATGATTAGGTCAGTGAGCTCTGGAGAACAGTTGGAATAAATTTCATGACTTTTTTAAATCAAAGGACAAGCATGAGAGGAGCCAGACTGAGCCCTGGAAAGGTGATGGAGCTTCCCCTTGCTGCTCAGGTGGAGACTGAAGGCAGTTCAGTCTAATTTCTTTTACCTCTTAGGAGACAGTGTGCTCAGTTCTGTTGCTAAATCAATATTATGGAATCGTTAAGGTTGGAAAAGGTCTTTCAGATCATCAAGTCCAACCACCCACGTTCACCACTAACCCACGTCCTCAAGTGCCACATCCACGTGGTTTTGAACACTTCTAGGGCTGGTGACTCCACCACTGCCCTGGGCTTCTCTCCTGGTGCTTCTGAGCAGGCCCTTGTGGTCCCTGAGAGCCGAGCTCTGAAGTTCTCCCCATGTGATTGTTGCTTTGGGACACAGGACCCCGGGTGGGCTCTGGTACCTGTGCTACTGACCCCTGAGAGGGAGAGTGGGTGGTTTTTGGCACCCTGCCCTGCCTTTTTTTGGGGTGCAGGGCTCTGTGCTGGCCCTGGGTGGTATTTGTAGGGTTGTAGGAGTGTTTGTCTCACCCAGTCACTGTTGGTTTGCTTTCGGGGCGTGAATGAAACTTTGCTTTTTTAAGAAGTGGCCATTTGGCAAATGGAAGGTCGCCTTCCTCCCATCGGTTTTTTGACACAAGGGAAGGCTCCCTGGGGAGTTTTGGTTTCCTTGTGGTGCTCCAGGGACATAATTCATTATCCTGATTAATGGGTCCATATTTCTCCCTTCCTTTGGCATTCTGGATAGTGCCAGTACTGGGTCAACCAGTAGGAGCTGCTGTTTCAAATCTGCGTTTTCAAAGGCTTAAAACTATTGTGTCTGTCTCCTTGTAGTTCCAGCTGCCCCTCCCAGCCCTCCCCTCCTCTGCTGCTCACCCAATTCTGTAATGGTCACTCAGCAGTGAAGAAGAAAAGTTGTTTCTTTTTCGTGTCATGTAACGTTTTTTCCTGCCAATAACAAACCAAGAGAGGTTTTTGTGGCTATAAAAATGAACCAACTCCCTCCTTCCCTCAGCATCATTCCCTCCACAGATAACAAGTGCAGTGGAGTCAAAAGAGAATCTGATTTATTGAGCAGCAACTGGTTGCTTTGGGGGTGGAATCACGGAGTGGTTTGGGTTGGAAGGGACATTAAAGCACATCCAGTCCCACCCCCTGCCATGGGCAGGGACACCTTCCACTAGCCCAGGTTGCTCCAACCTGCCCTTGGACACTTCCAGGGGTGGGGCAGCTTCTCTGGGCAACCTGTGCCAGGGCCTCCCCACCCTCCTTCCCAATATCCCATCTAACCCTGCCCTCTGAGTTTGAAGCCATTCCCCCTTGTCCTGGCACTACAAGCTCTTGTAAAAAGTCCTTTTCAAGATTATCCCTGAGGGCACAATTAGCCCGAAGAGAAGGAAAACAAGGATTAGTGGTTCAGAGAAAGCTGTTCTTTGACACTACACTTGCATAACAGAGTTTGCCTTTGAGCAGCGTCTCTTCAGGCTGTTGTAACCTCTTGATTCACCTTCAAACAAATTTCCCTTGCTGTAGATAAAGTGAATATTGCTTAAGCAGTGGTTTTATTTTAGCCCTGGCATTGAATCTGGGCTAAATTTAGCAGGGTTGGGTTGGGTTGTCGAGGTGTGTAAGCTCTTGTAGTTGCCTGCTTGCAGATGCCTTGATAAAAGGTGCTCAGTAATAGTTGCTTTTTAAAGTCACAGCTTGTGCTGTGAGCCAGCCCTGATTCCATCCCATCAGTGCTCAGCCTTGCATAAAACACAGACACAGCCCAGGCTCTCTAGTGCCTCCAGGAAAAGTGGAGTGGGAGAGACGCTGGCAGTGTTTGTGTGTGAGATTTGCAGCGGTGCTCCCGATGCTTTAGTCATTCCATGTGTTTAGGTAGAGGGAAAGAAATGAAATGAACTGAAAATAGGAGCAAACTCTTCATGGGGATGTTTCCTGTGGTTATTAGGAATTACAGCCCAATATTAACGTTTGCTTTCTGTGGTTGCTTGTAGATTCTTGAAACGATCCCTGCAGGGATGGAAGTTTTTCTTTTTGTTTGGCCTGGGTGCCAGGAGTATTTTGGACATGGTGAAGTGCATGGGAGCCTTCCTGGAGCTGCTGATTTTTCAGGAAGTGCATCTCCATCCTTGTTTAGCTTTAGAGGGAGTCTCAAGCTGCTGTTTTAATAGGAAAGATGACTGTGAAAAACAAACAGCGTGGGGTTTTCTTTCTGTAAAACGAACAAAAAACCCAAACCAAAACACTCTTCTATGTGTCAGGGCAGGCTCAGGTTGGATCTCAGCCAAAGGTTCTTCCCCCAGAGGCTGGTTGGGCACTGCCCAGGCTCCCCAGGGCAGTGGGCACAGCCCCAAGGCTGCCAGAGCTCAGGGAGGGTTTGGCTGATCCTCTGGGGCACAGGGGGTGACTCTTGGGGCTGGGTCTGTGCAGGGCTGAGGGTTGGACTCCAGGATCCTTGGGGGTCTCTCCCAGCTCAGAACATCCCATGATTCAGTGTGACCCCTGTTGGGGTCATTACCATCGTTAGTCACAGCCCCACCTTGATTTGCCAAATGTTTTACTGGTGCTGATGGTCCCACTGGAAGCCAAACACGTTGTCCTGCTGGGCACAGGAGTGCAGCCTGGCAGCTGGGAGAGTTGTTGTTTCACTGCACTGACTTCCTGAAGGATTTGGAGCCTAACCCTGGTGTTGCACAGTGCCAGCTCCTTCCAGCTGCCCTGTCACCTCAGAGGTGTGTTTGGCAGAGCTGCAGCTCCTACCTGAGGTGCTTCTCTTAAATGTGCAGGAGTGACACGGAAAAAACCAACTCAGCGCCCTGAAGAGCTGAATGTTTGCTCAGGAGATTCCAAGGGCAATGGCTTCAAACTGGAAAAGTAGTTTTAGGTGAGATATTGGGAAGGAATTGTTCCCTGGGAGGGTGGGGAGGCCCTGGCACAGGTTGCCCAGAGAAGCTGTGGCTGCCTCTGGACCCCTGAAAGTGTCCCAGGCCAGGTTGGACGGGGCTTGGAGCAACCTGGGCTAGTGGAAGGTGTCCCTGCCCGTGGCACGGGGTGGCACTGGATGGTCTTTAAGGTCCCTCCAACACAAACCATTCTGGAATTCTCTGATTCCTTACTCTGTTCCTCCCATGTATTTCTGGATATGGGGATGGGTTGGTTACTGATGCCAAAGACTGACCCCCCTGACATTGGATAAATTATTCTGTTGTGTCTTCTCTGCTCCCACAGGGACAGTTTTGCTGCAGTCCTCTTGGATTGTTCTGTCTTTCCTGGTCTACAATTTAGCCCCAGGGTGTCCAGGATACTCTGATTTACTTGTAACCAAAGGCAAGTGGTGTATTAGGACACAGCTCATGTCCAAAAGAGCCTGGGCTGCTTCAGCAGCCACTTTTTGTTGTGCTTTGACTTCGTAGTCGAGCTAAAAATGTGCTTTAGTCTGTGTTTCTCGGTGTATTTGGGCAAGCAAGAGGCTGATTTCAGAAAAATACTGAAAGCTGGGCTTTTCAAGTGCTCACCAACTTCCAGTTGAGGTTTTTAAAAGCATTTGGTGGCTTTTGCTGTCCCTTCCTGGGCTGAGCTTTCCGGTGCCTGCAGCTCCGAGCTCTCGTGACCAGCTCAGCTTGGCTCCCTGTGCTGAGCTTTTGGAGTGTCCAGACTTTGGGGAATGAGATCCAGAGAGATTTTTGCAGGCTGTGTGCTCCAGTGTTTGGGATTTGGGAGGTTTTGGGTGCAGCTGTTGTACTCCAGGTGGCACCAGCAGCCCACAGCTGGGCCAGGGATTAGCGAGGCTGGTGCAGTCCCCAAAATGTGCCACAGAAATCAAATATTGGCCGTGGGGAGATGAAAAATTAGTTTGCTAAATAACACTTTACCCTTAGTGAGCAGAATAAATACAGTGACCAAAGCCAGGCATAGAGAAGATCAATTCCTCAGGAAATGTCTGTGTAAATAAAGAGTGAACACCAGTT